CCAAAGTTTCAACTTTCTAGCTTTTTTCATTCGCGAGTTATGAATTTTCTCGCTCAAATTATCACGCGCCCGTGCATGAGCCCCGGACAGCCCTAAGCAGCTGAATTTGAAATCTTTTAGTCATATTTGGGTAGAGAACATTCTTCTGAAATTTCAGTTTTCTAGCTTTTCTCCTTCCCGAGCTAGCGATTTCCCCGCCAAAACTTTTACGTGCCCGTACGCGAGAAATATGCATGCGTGAGACACTTGATATCACGTTACTGGGGTCGCACTTGGCCAGGAAGCACCCTGGCAAAACTTCAGCGTCAAAGCTTGCGTGGTTAGTGAATAGAAATACCCGGACAGGCGAACACATACACAAACATACACACACATGCATACGCAGACAGGGTGTGCACGTTTTCTCGTACAGTCCCAAGAAAGCCCCGCAAAAGCCTTGGCGGGGAAATCGCTAACTCGGAGCCAGAAAAGCTGGTAGGGGGAGGGTGGAATTTTAAGGGTATGTTTCCAGGCCCCCGTAAAAGTTAAAGATATTAAATTCAGTTCCCGGATATGCGTGGCTCCCATGCACGGATCCATGAAATTTTTTGGTGAGAAAATTGCTAACTCAAGAACCAGAAAAGTTGGAAAGCTGAAATTTTAACGAAATGTTCGCTGTCCAAGTACTGTGTTGTTGCACAACTAACTTCCTGAACTTCGAGGGACCAGTATGCCATAAATTCCAGCTACTGGGACTCCAAGCGATTTTACAGCAGCGCGAAATACGGCAAAAACACATGATCGCAGCGCCCGCCTCGTGCGCATCGCCAATGATTTATAATGTAATAACAAAGAGTTTTCGCATCCTATTTGGGCATATTCCCGACTTGTTGCTCCATCACTAGCGAGGAATAGCCACATTGATAGCCCGTGCAGCCTTGGTATTCGGGCGTAAATTTTTTTGGCTTCTTTTTTCCATCGATTAGCTTTTCACTGCAGCATACCACTTACAGCTGATATGAGATTCGCTTAATTAAATTTGTACGCCTTACGCGATTTTCTCCTTCCTGGTATATTTCGTGCCCTTTAACTTAGTTTTTTACAGTTTTTCTTTTTTAATCAGGCAAATTTTGACAATTACGCTTAAGCAAAAAGCAAAGGGAAACAACTGCCGCCCCAGTACGCAGCAACAGTTCTGCGGATTAGAAAAAATTAAAATAAAGCTTTGCTGTTTACGAAAAAACTCATGAAAACTTTATACCGATGAGGCCTTGATAAAATGGCTGAGCTGAGTTCTGGCGTGCTCCAGAATATCCCAGTACTCTCTGAGCTGTTCCAATGCTTTCTTGATCTGTGGCACGTAGAGTCGCGTCAAACTTAGCGCAAGATCGGTAATATTCATTGGCAAAACTGTTGAATCCGTAAATTCATATGCCAGTGCTGCCCAGTATCTCCCAACTGCTTCATGGACCTTTAGCGAACACAGCATTAATTTTTGAAGTGGTAGCTTTCTTCCTTCGGCTATACTTGTCTCCACCCTCAGATCCTATTCCTCTTCACCTAATCTCTGCATTAAACAGCTAAAAAAGAAACGCATCTAGGGTGTTCTTAGAAGAGCAGATCTTAAAAAAATGAGCAGCAATTTTTGCTGTTTGCATGCTGGAAAAATTAGAAAATAATCTTTGTTTGATTTTGGTAGTAGGGTTATATGAATAACTTGAGATATCGTAGTTTTTAAATCCAAGAAAGTGCAATCTGAAAGAAAAAAGAAACAACAAAGAAAACTTATTTAGAAAATAGGCTTATCTTCGCAACCGAATGATTATTAATATTCTCTTTCATCATCTTCATCATACTACTTCCAACCTCTTCTCTATTCTATTTTCATTCTTTAATCCAAATTCAGCTGCAGTTATTTATTAGTTTTGATACCCTAGTACAGAACGGTGATCTTTACAATAAAATGGGTTGCAACTGACCGGCAAGTAATCAGTATCAATGATGTGCTGATTGGTGAAAGGAGTCTCATATAACGAATGGTACAATGGGTAATTGTCAAAAGCCGTTCCATTTCTGCAAAAATCCACAACTGAGCACGGCAGCAACCCATAAAAATAAGAATGTCTTGCCTGACAAATATTTCGATGCTCAGTCGCAATTACATCTCACCGGTAAGTGATATCGGCGACAGGTATGCCTAAATAATTTAAAAACGGTGCATGGTCACTTCCTGCTCCAGGGATCGGCATCGATGGTGCATCCGGTCGGAATTCGATATCGTTCGGAAATGTTTTGATCCTGCAGTTATGTATTTTTTTTTTCTGAAGAAGTTTGTAATAAACCCAAGCTGGAACGCACCAGGCTAGCCGGTGCGATCATGCGTTTTTGCACAAAACTTGAATTAGGTTAACTGCACGAACGATTTTTCTTCACAACTACCTTGTGTGCTTAATGCCGAAAATCATCGTAAATTTTGCATAAAAAGACATAAACTATTTCCATTTAGCGGTTTTTATGCGTTTTTGCCTATATGCAAATTGCAAAAACGCATATTGAGACGACCCCGCCTGTGTG